CGAGCCATGCGGGGAAGTCAGCATGGACGCTAACTTCCTTGCTTTGGTATCCTTAATATCGATACCCGACAATTGTGTTGCTAATTGATACAAAACAAATCCTTCAAAGTAAATCATATCTTATATTATATATATAATGTAATGTAATATATTTCATAAATCAAATATACCCATATTTTAGAAATAACAAACATAAATGTATGTATATAATATGTATAATGATACAACATATGTAGTTTGTTATATGGGTTGTAAGCCCAATAGAAGCCATCAATAACAGCCCAGGAAGGCGGAGCAGAAACACCGTCCCTCAGTTCTCTCTGTCTCTCGTCTCTCGCTCGCATCGACTGGGGATCTACGGAAGGACGGAAGCGCCGGCGGCGCAGGTGCGCAGCAGCACGACAGCCTTCCCTCGGCCCTCCTCCGTCTCATCTCCCCCTCGGTCCTGTGCCCTTGCGCGGCTGCGCGACCAGCGCCCAGCCCGCGCCGGTAGCGGCGAGCAGCAGCATTAGCCGGCGGTCCGACCCTCCCCCTCGGCCCCCTCCGGTTCTCCCAATCCTAGCTCGAGCTCCGGCTTAAGGTTGTTGTAGGCGCGCGCCAATCAAGACGAAGGGACGGAGAAGATGACTTTGATTTTTGGCGCTATTTTTTCACCTCTCACGCGCGCAGCATGATCTATGCGGGGTCGGCTGAAGAAGACGCGCAGCATGATCTAACAGGCTCCGTACAACGCAAAGCCGAGACCGTCTGGGAGCACGAGGTCGCTGTCGTCTCATGACACGACGGCGCCACTCTCTCTCCTCGTTACTAAAACTCTAAAAGAATCGTTAGTTGGACGCGCTCGTGCGTGCGTGAGAAGATTAGGCGTTTGACTCACCCCTGCAACATTAATGCGCAGGATCTTTTCCTTTGTGATTAGAATATGATATTTAGCCTTAACTAGCTTTTGAACCGCGAGTTACAGAGCACTGTGGCACTTAAACCCCACGATGTCACGAGGTTAAGATATTGGCAAGATGTCCCCTTCGTGGGTGGAATGATGTATTTGTCTATTCTTCCTTAACACAACAATAGGGGAAGTCATGGAAACTAATGCCAACCGCCAATAAGAAGATTGCTCTTTGTTTTTTCTATGTATCTTTTCTTTTATTGACAAAAATGTCAGCATCAGGTAAATTGGCAATTAAATTAGCATCAGGTAAATTGGGAATTGAGTTGTGATCATATGAGTTTAGAGGTTCCTAGTACAATAATTGGTTATATAATTCATTTTTTCTCTCTCTTTTCAGGACGAGGGGATTGCAGACAGTATAATATGAGATCTCAGATTTACAAATCAGTGTCACATTTACATATCCTGGACTATGATACACATAACTTCAATTTTTGAGATATTGGGGCAGCCACATACACATTACTTCAAATTCTTGAGATCTTTGGGCAAATGTTTTACTGATAAGTTTTTGCTTAATGTTATCGGTGTTATGTGATTAGCTGCGCTGATCCATATCGCCTCACTGTCTCTAGAACAATTGAGGATGAAACATCACATATGTACAACAACAACAACAACAACAAAGCATTTAAGTCCCAAACAAGTTAGGGTAGGCTAGAGTTAAAACCCAGCAGAAGCAAGCACGTGAATAGCTGTTTTCCAAGCACTCCTATCTAAGGCTAAGTCTTTAGATATATTCCATCCTTTCAAGTCTTCTTTTACTGCCTCTACCCAAGTCAACTTCGGTCTTCCTCTACCTCTCTTCACGTTACTATTCTGGCTTAGGTTTAGAGTTATTGGGTACCAGGCTGCTGCTGGCAAGGTAAATTTTAGACCAAGAGGATTGATTGCTAGATGGCATAGATGCGGTGCTTATAAGGAATTATAAATGATATTCTGTAGAAATAAGTAGGGTTAACCATGGAAATATTTCAGTAAAAGGCGAGAAAGCTTTAGGAACGCATGATTTGGGAAGTATGTAGAAATTTCTAGAAAGTTAGGACAAAAACATTAAGATTTAAAATTTGTTAGTGGCACATTTTTAAATTGTTGTACGGTAACTTCCCAGAGACCGTTTTGTTGCTGTGGAAAGTAAAAATAGCAAATAATTACAAACCACAACTGCATGAGCTAAAGCGTGTGTTGCCAACTGGTGTGTTTTATGCAGAACAGAAATGTTTACGGCACTACGAGAGCAGTCCTCAGCTCGATCGACTATCCTACTATATCCTAGCCACCTAGTATGACTTAAGAATGGAGTTTAAAACTGCACTCAAATCACGGAGGGGTAAGGCTTAAGAATGGAGTTTAAATTGCACTCAAATCACGAAAGGGTAAGTCATCAACAGTTAATGGGCCTATGCTCTTATGTGCATCAAAGTCGGTGCTGATTTCAAGATGCACCAGGCAATGTATGGGTGGACAGGTGCTTTGGTTTTTGAGAGGAAAAATTTTTATCGACCAAGGTTTATTTGTGTGGGCCTATTCTTCCATGTTTTTGAAACCAAAAAACAAGAGCAACCCTCATGTCTCCGTAGTTGGGCTGAAGTTGCATTCAACTCAGAAAGGAATTCAAAAGAAAAACTTACTTGTCCATATGGGCGTCATTTATAGTTTTAGCGCCACAACCGGCCCACACCAGAAAGAATCAATACTCAGAGATAAATTACTACACGCAAAAAGGAATTCAAAAGAAAAACTTACTTGTCCATATACATTTCCATAAATTGCTCCGCGAACTTCTGCATGAATAAAGAATAGTATAACAAGTTGCAACGGATGAACACACACGGCATGACTAAAGCATGGGTCTAATTTTCGTTAAGCTTTAGTTAACACCATAAATCGCCTCATCGCGCCACGAATTTAAAGAAGGGCACATGGGATCGGTCCCAAAACACCGACTAATCACAACTTATACATGCAAAATCATTTTTAAACTATATCCTGCACTAATACTAACCTAGTGCCACAGTTATGAGCCCACATTCAGGTCAACCCCCCATGTCTCCGTAGTTGGGCTGAAGTTGCATTCAACTCCGAGCCTTCTTCTCCTGCAATGTTAAACACGTCAGCATCGAATCATGGCGAATGATGGCAAAATAATATGCGATCGGGTAAAGCGAAATTTCAATCTTTGAACCCAAGGCGATTACAATTTGGCTCTGGATCCCAAAACCATTAACTACGGCCTCTATTTGCCCCAAAAGTGGCATTAATGCTGGGATTAGTTCCAGCAAAGGCACAAGAAAAAAGAAATGCACAGATGGCTCTCTCTTAACCATGTACTAGATTACTAGCAGGCAGTACCATTGACCAGACCCAATGCAACACACAAACCAAAACAACTTTAAGTGAGTTGTGTGTCATCGTCATTAACCAAGGTGGGATATGGAAGCAACCTTGGGGGATTACATTAGTGGGTTGCTACTATGACTTGAGGAACAAATTTTCACCCTTTTCTTAATCGAAAGGCGATTAAGTCGCAAACCCGGGATGCAATATCTCCAGAATACTAACAAGTCAACCATCGAATTTAATATATACACTGTCAGCATTTAAACACTGCAAGCTGGAAACAAGCAAAATCCCAGAGCTGCAATTCATAGGGTGGGAGGAAGATGGCATTAGAGGAGGCTGCTCTTATGTGCATCAAACAAAGTGACATTAATGAGTTTGCTTATCTCTTGGCCATTGTATCAAGATGCGCACCAGGCAATGTATGGGTGGACAGGCCTTGCCTTGCGTCATTCAAAGACCTAAATACCTAATTTCATAAGCTAGCAGCATACTCCATCTATATTCAAGAGCCTCATTTATTCAAATAAACAAGAAAAATGGCTCAACATTCAAGCCCATTTAGTGCTCTCTTAGCAATACTGTGCATTTGAAATACTGTGCCCAATAAATTCCATTCATGGACACATCAAGTTGTGAAATCAATTGGAAGCCAGTCAAATTTCAACTGTACAAGCTTTATAAATAATCAAAAGGAAACAAAATTGGTGGTTTCAACACTCAACTACACAACAAATAATAATTGTCATAATTATCTGATTGGCCCAACCAACTTTCCAGTGGCCATAAGGTATTATTCCTAAAATCTGTGGGATGTCAGTCATTTCAAAAATTTGGAACATGTTTTAAATATAGATAGCGAGTTTAACCTCTCACCCAAATGCAATAAAAAAGAAGCCTAAATCTAGAAAATGTTGTGGAGCAAGTGCATTGCTAGCTGGCTATAAATACTGAATAACAATAAAAGAAATCCAAATTTACTTGTTAAGCACCACGTAAAAGTTTCTCAGGACTGGTTAATGTTGTGTAAAAAGCAACGCAAAGCGAAGCAAAAACTCAACTGTAGATATGTGTCCCAGGTCCTGTTTTTCTCATTCAGATTTGTTGATCTTTTGCATATGACCCAACAGGCCACCACAAAACCTCTCACCTAGCACTTCTCTTCCACCCAATATATATTCAATCCTTCCTTTGCCACTCCCCAACCATGAATATGATAGGCAATAAAATGCGTATAGTTGTACTATTGCTACTACTATGAAATATAGTAGAGAGTAATAATTAAGTGGGAGCGTGGCTCTTACTGTCACATTAAAGAAAACCAATTGACCTCCCATCCTTCACCCCCTATAAATACCAGCCATCTCTTCTCCAACACCACCAAAGAAACACCTCTGAGCATTCTAAAGCTCATAGTCCTCTCCTTCCAGAGCATTTCACATCGCTCTCATCTCCACCTGCTTGCATCCAGCGCCTCTTCACTCTGCAAAACAGTAAGTCCCTTTGCTATCTGTATCTAGGCCTCTAATCCTCGTAACAGTAGAGCATCCATTCTGAAGTGTATCTCAATCAGCTGATTCAACGTTTGATGGATGCAGACAGCACATACCTCCAAAGGATGAGCCGCAGCAACAGGAAGAGCTCTAGGGGCCTTGACCTGAAACTGAACCTCTCGCTTCCTGCAACAGGGGGCTCCTCCAGGAGGGCGATGGCTGATGAGGAGTCATCCCCGAGCTCCTGCCTGTCGTCAGAGAACGAGCATGGCCTGCAGTGGTCCAACAGCCCTGAGGCCACATCCATGGTTCTTGCTGCCTGTCCTCGCTGCTTCATCTACGTCATGCTCCCACAAGATGACCCTCGGTGCCCCCAGTGCAAGAGCCCTGTGCTCCTTGACTTCCTGCAGGACAACAACAACAGTAAGAACAACAGTAATAATAACAGCAGGAGGAGCAGGAGGGGATGAGCAATATGGTTTCATTAGGCGGCACAACATCAAGAAAAAGAGTTATATGAAGTCCTAGGTCCAGTAGTTCTATTTTGTCCAGTCATTTCTTCAGTGTAACTGTGATATATCCATACTAAAATTGCGAAGCTAGCACCCATACGCTAGTATCACAGTTTTGATATATCACAGATACACTGACATGTGGGCTAAATCTTTCATCCTTGTTTCCTTCCTTTGCGGCTCTAAATGTAATAGTTTTGTTTAGACATAGGACCAGACTTCCTATATTTTCGTTTCAAGATAAGAAAAGTTCACCCTGATAGAGTGAAATTGAGAAGTAACTTCATTCTATCATCCATAGGAGCTTCAAATCCAAGCTTCCAAGTATCGGTTTCAATTTCCTCATTATTCTGAGTTGGACAAGGTATCCACGCCCGACATAGGAAGAAGGGGATAACACAGGAAGAACAGTCAACCCCAGAAATGGGATGTTAGTATCACAGGTTAGCTGGACTGATCAACTGGCATTACTGCATCCACGTTGCAACAAAAAGATGTGTGCTTCATGAACTCTATCAACTACCCATGAAGACATCAAGTTGAAATGGTGATGGAAGTTCAAATTGGAAAGAGATATGTTTAAAAAAGGTTGAAAAAAAGTTGGTGTGACGCCATGCAATAAATACTGATTAATTTCAGCACGCGTCACTCTGTTTCCATAGAGCATCCATCTGAATATGAGCATTATTACGCAACAACCTTACGCAATGCTGCTTTGGTCAACTTTGTCAAGCCAATATATTTAAGTTCACTTGATAAAGACGCCTCAGGTTAAGTCCAGATCATCATTATCAGATAATACAAGTGGATTTGAATCACATCAAAAGGAGAAAGATCAAAGAACATGTGCCTATATAGGATAAAGGGGCATACCCAGTGCAAAGAGCTCCCGCTCTGTGCGGGGTCTGGGGAAGGGTGTCAGTGACAAGCCTTACCCTCGCCTGTGCAATGCGAGGAGACCGCGACTCGAACCCGGGACCTTCCGGTCACAGGCGGTAAGACTCTACCGCTTGCACCAGGCCCGCCCTTCATGTGTCTATATAGGATGTGCCCATTAATTCATGTTGACTTGAAATAGCAAGCTTGTCCCTTTCATTTCATTCATTGACGAAAACAACAATGTTTCAGGCTGTAATATGGTGGTTCAGTGACAAGACAACAGAAAAGGAATGAGCTGTTAATAGGGAAAGGAAGAAAGAAACATGAACAACATAAGAATGAAACAAGAAACAGAAAAATCAAATGTCATGCCGAAGTGGATTACAATATATTTATGACAGTAAAACACAAAAAAGTAGCTAATTTAACAATTACCATGCATGCAGCTGTTTTGTTTGGTGAATGTAAGGGGCTATGCGTACTTGCCTTGTCATAGACGGCTAGCGAACACATGGTCTCAACTCTCAAACAATCAACCAAGTTATCTATTTATAACACACCTAAAGCACAAGAAAATAGGCAAGTGCAAAAATCTGCGTGGAACCGAACCAGAGTATGATAGAACTGATAAGCCAAAGAACATAAGAACATGAAACATCAAATAAAGGAATATCGAGACATTACTTAGTACTCCATCTGTTCCAAAAATGTATTGTGTTTATTTTTGTCCTAAGTCAAACTCTCTAAATTGACCAAGTTTATAGAAAAATGCACCAACATCTACAACACCAAATTAGTTTCATTAAATCCATCATAAACTATGTCTTGATAGTGCGTATATTTGGTATTATAGACGTTAATATATTTTTCAACAAACTTGGTCAATCAAAGGTTTAAAAGTTTGACTTATGAGGTAGGATAAAACTTAAACACCTACATTTTGGAAGCGAGGGAGTATTTATTAATGTGTTCTTCCATTCTCACAAATCATATTATTTTTCATATAAAAAATAATTGCAAGATCATTAGTGAAACAAAGGCAAAACCAGGAGATTCACTGAAGAAAGAAATTAACGAACAAGAGGAATAATGGATCTTCTGAACCACAGAGAATAATGAGCAAAAAGAACTGCAGCTAAGGTCAACACCAGTGAATATATCCATAAGTACACAATGGTGGAGTGTGTCACAAAATGAAGCTCCATGGAGGCATGGATATTTTCAGGTTGAGGCAAAATGTGTTTTCTATCTCATAAGCATAAACAATACAGAATGCAGAATCTTTTAATTCCAGATATTAAAGATAAAAATTAAGAAGTTAATCAAATAAGCAATTCATTTGAATTTATTGTACATACAAAAAAGGAAATATAACATTGTGACCTTGCATGCTTCTTCAAACATCAAGAAGCTTCATCTCAAGTTACAGCCCAGTACTCCAAGAGGCTACAACAAATGCCTAACAACACTACATGTGCAATAGATGAATAATAGATCTAAAATTGTGTAAAATTCAACATAACAGATAAAACTCAATAAGAAAGAGAATTGGGAGTTACACCACTTGAACATGTATTCTAAAAGAACTGAAACTAACACAGGTACTTTTTTTTCTCCAGTAAATTTTACTGCATTTACGTTTTTGCTTAATAGACAAATATGGAGTATTAATATGTAGTCTACCAAAATTGAAGTGCTGACAGTATTCGACATTATCTCAGAACAATTTGGAAAGTACAAGTTAGACGCACACCTCTAGATTATATATAGCTACACCTTGCCAGGTGAAAATGATATTACCCCGAAAATTCTACAATTTTACGCTCTGAAATCTGAATATGTTTACAGCACCCTTTCGACCACTCCATATGTGTTCAGGTTGAACAACACAATGCGTTAACGCCACCTAAAGGGCAAGATACCAATGCCCATGAATGACCTGATAATTCACAAAGAGCATGCCTTGAGTTGGATAGACAAAAAGTACAGTGCACTAAAAAAATGGCTGAAGCCCTTAAGTTCCAATTTCCCTGACGGCTTGCAGTCAAAAGGGAAAAGGAAAGCAGAGAAATCCTTGGCTGCAAAGTGCACTAAAAAAATGGCTGAAGCCCTTAAGTTCCAATTTCCCTGAATGCTTGCAGTCAAAAGGGAAAAGGAAAACAGAGAAATCCTTGGCTGCAACTATCCTGATATGTCCAAGTCCAATGGAACATAAGGGGCCTAAGCGCAACATCTGAAGACGAAAGACAAGAACATTCACCTAATGCAGACCCCATTCATCCACCAAGGGTCCCAATGCCGATTGCCGACAAGTTTGGCTGTGTATATGCAATCACCCAAAGGTCGCCGAAGCACGTTGCCGGATGCGATCCTGCAGAGATCACATCACGTCATCTCACATTAAAATATCTAAACGGGACTACAAGATACGGGAGGAGAAAAGCAATCTCGGCCTGACATACAGTCAAACAGCGATATTGGAGACGTGCACGACAGCACGAGAGACATAAAACTGCAACTAAAGCACGAATTGTAGCTTAAAACTAGGGTTGTATGAACCGAAAGAAATACATTAGCTAAAATAGCCCCTAAAAGACTACAAACAGCTCAAACTAGGGTTGTATAATTTTTTTTTTTTAAAAACTAAATGCAGGTGAAAATACCCCCAGAAAGTCACAGAAAAATCGACCCTCAATCGCCTCCGATGTTGAGCAAAAGCGCAACCGTGGAAACTGGCTCACCTATTTGCGCACCTCGATTTCAGAATCCCCTCCGCCGAGGATAAGGAGAAGCTTCTGCCTCCGGACGGCGTCACGGCGACGCGCCGACGAAGCCGAGCGCTGCCTGCCGCTTCGCTTCGCGTCGCCCGAAAGCGACGGTCACAACCGGCAACAGCTGGCTGGACATGGGCTGGCTTGGCGTTAGACCAAGCAATCTCAGTCTGGCCCAACTTGGCCGGAGGTTCGTCGGTCCGAACATAATTGGCCCGGCCCGTAGCTTGACCAGAGGAGCCTTTTTCGGCTGGCGCCTTTCTTTGTGCCAGCCCACCGAATCATCGGCCCATCCCATCGCCGCCGGCATGGATCATCAAAAATCAAATTTGTTTGCTCAAAAAAAAATCAAAAATCAAATTTGTATAATAGAAGTGCAAAACTATTTCAGATCCGGAGGTGGCAGATAAGATGCACAGTCAAGCTAGTCTGGAAAGCAGCAAAAATTGAAAAGGAATCGCGTAATTGTAAAGAAACGAAACGATTGTGGAATCTGGGGGGAGGATAAGCTATGTTATGTTAGGCAAACGACCAGGTCACCTCGCCCGGTGAATCTTTGCTGGTCCGACGACATAGATAGAAAACACAGCCTACATGCTCCCTATCATTGGCATGCCACAAAAAACAGAGAGGCTGCCTACCTACTACTACTCCTACTACCAGCAACCTCTCTGATTTGTTTAGGCCACTCTTGTCGGTCGGACCAAAGGCTCATGTGCATTTTCACCATGCCATTGCCATATGTAGGTCCTGCTAATGCAGTTCCCAATGCTGTACTGTACACGATGGATTCATCAAGCACTAATAGTGGGAAACTATGTGCACGCTTGGTGGTGCTGTTCATTTCAATCTTGCATGCCATGGAGGAGTCATGGACATGGACAAGGACCAGCCGGCAGGCTCTCAATTCCAGCCAGTGTCCCTCGAGCAATTCAACATGCTCGAAGCTGGTGATCGGTGGGAATCCCAGGGGCGACACTTCTATACCAGCTTGATGTGCTAGAGACAAGGAACTAGTCAACTTTGCATGTGCAGACGGAGCATCATTATCCTTGTGAATTCCTTTGCTATACGTACGTAGTTGTTGACTCCGTTCCATATCATTTATTCATTTGGATTGGAACTCGTTCTATGAAGATTTGCTGTATATAGAACGCTGATGTTGTTAATTAATTCAGGCCGTCAGAGACGTATGTGTCTTCTGCTCCCAATCTGATGCTATAAATCTGTTTCCCATAATTCGGCACCATCAGAGGAACAGCCTAATAACCTTCATAACTAATTAACTAATACGAAGGTGATTACGTC